GACTCCGCTTCTCCCGACCAGGGCCTGGATGCTGTTTATAGCCCTCAGCGTCTGGGGGTTTTGGGTTGTTGGTTTTGTTTTATCACGCGTTAGCCTGCACTAATATTTTCTCCCTCGAAGCCCGGAGGTTTGTAACAGTGTATGTGAGCAGCAACAAACCCCTTCTCTTTGCACGGTCGCATGTAATACGCTTCCTGCCGCAAGAGTTCGGGAAGCCAGGGCGTTCGGTTGAGCTGATAGAAGACAAGCTAATGTGTTTACATGCTGGTCACAGTGTATGTACAGTAACACACAAGCATAAGGCATTCATTAGGAACTGCTGAAGCATTTCCCTTTGTATGTACTTTAGCACATACGGATGAAAATTAGATTTATAAACTAGAAGGAAACTAAAGATTAAGAGGAATGTTGTGTCAGCCCCAGAGAGTACATGAAACCCCTCATAACCCAAGCATGGGGTAAACAAAGCCCAACGTAAAAGCACCTTGCTTCATTTGGATTCACTGAACACAAACATCCGGCCTCGTGCCACCGACAGTTTCCAGGATTTTAAAGGATTAGGTATTCACGTTCTCTCCTGTGACTGAGGAAATTCAGAAAGAAATGGAGAAATACAGTTTACAAAACTAGATAAAAAATCATTTCTGAAATTTTTGAACAGCCAGCTCAGTGCAGGAGAGTAACAGCCATACCTGAGCTCAAAACTCGTTTCATCCTTGCTCTGCCACACACCATTAGGGTAGAATCAGACAGGCAACTTGCACTCACACATAAAATGCAATCTTCTCAAGGTTATCACTGTTTCTTAAGAGAATTACCTCTGTCCAGTCTGGAAAAGGAATCAGTGCTCTCTTTTTCCAGGCTGTAACATTTTCAATGTGAATTTACCATGGGTAGAGAGTAAATTGAAAGTCCAGCATTACAAATTTCTGCTCCCAGAAAGACTAGCATAGATATTTTCCTCATGGATAGCTTCACCCCATGTTACTGCATCAACCGATGCCCAGCCAGAGATGGGCTGGCACTAGAGGGGTTATTCCACCTAGTATATCAAACGTGTACCTCATACTAGTAACTTTTTCTCACAGCATCCAAACCTGCGTGAGATTTGAACAAGCACTGGGAACAGCAAGAAACAAAGCAGCTCCAGCCACATCTTTAGCATATAAACACTTTGAAGATAGCATAGCCTTCTTGGTAAGAAAAACTAAATTCTTCAAGATGAATTTGTTGCCACAGAGGCAGCATTAAACCAGCTTGTCTGCTTTGAGTTTCAATATACGCTGTAAGATTTTGGAATACATTGTCAGATTATCTTCTGCCCTCAGTCAAAGAACTGTAGGAAAACCCTCATGTGTTAGATAAAACCATATTTCGAGGAAGAGTCAAGTGCTACATATTTTGGATTAGAGTGATAACCATACTGAATATCAGTATCTAGCAGGCAGGCAAGAAATTCTACCTTCAGAGGAAAAGGACAGACACCTCTGAGCATTACAGCAAAGAACATGAGAGAGAAATCCCACTAGCCTTGGACAGCATAAGAGGTGGTGATAACCCGGAGGGATGACGTTAACATGATGCTCTCTATAGATAAGAGGAGATGTATAGCAAACAGCTGAGACCTGTTTTTTGTGAGAGTCTGTTTCACAATTTAAGTAAGATGTAAAATAAGAAGGCAGTACCACCACCTTCACAGCTTTTACACGCAGGATTAAAGAAAATACAGTGCTCACAGAACCATCCATGCAGCTAAAACGTGTCAGTGTTGAGTGTGATTCAAAGAAAATCTCCTTTTACAGAGTCTTATTTCATGATTATTCCAGTTACCCGAGGAAAAAAGGCATCTGTAAATGCACAAGTATATTTAGAAGCCGCTGCTCAGTCTCCACCACATGTAGTGGAGAGGTTAGACGCCAGCGAGACTCTGATCTCTGGCGAGTCTAGTGAAAATTGGCAGCAGGCTGTAATGCCCCCACTGAGGGAAAAGCAAGAAGTCAGCTGTTATCCGGCAGCAGCTGCCTGGCCAAAAGCACACATGTACTGGCCAGCCGATCACCCCGCACGCTGCTCTGCCCAGGCAGCAGGTCAGAGACAGAGCCTGAGAAATGAGGGGGTGGGAGGGCGAGGAGAGCTGGGACAGGAGAGGGATCGCAGGGTGCTGCAAAAAGATGTAACAGACAGGCTTGGGAGGCGCTGGGACATTGAATAAAAATCAGTAGGAAACCAGATTTTACTGGTTTTCTTCCTTCAGGAACAATCTGTTATTTAAGAAAGAACACTTTATGCTCAGCTCTACACTTTATCCTCAACTCTGTGCAGATACTGTACTTAGTGAGAAGAAAAGTACCGGCTTTCCCCCACTGCACATCAGTGTAGTTCACGTTTCAGCTGGGTGACCACAACACCTACATGGCTATAAAATATTTTCCTCCTTCTCTGAGGCTGCAACTAGCAAGTCTGGACAGATAATATCACACATTAAGGCATTTTCTCTTGCATTCATAGCACTCCTAGATGACAGTAATGTCATTAGCTTCCTATTGAAGGGCATTAGCTATTGTTTACCCATGGAAAAGCTCTCCTTTGCTTTTCACAAACAGTATAAGGAGCAAAACAGGCAAAACCAACATTGCAAATATATCAGATATCATAATCATGCACTTCAAGGGAAATCTACACTGCCCTTAATTCCCCTAAAGGGCAAATTCCATCGGCAAGCAACTTATGCTGAAATTGCAGAGTCAAAAATAAATGTCGGCCTCTTTAATGGCTTTGGCAGACGAGTATAAATTGAAGGGGAGTAATGTGAAAACACAATAACAAACAGCTGAATTGATGCCGTGAGGTGCTGAGCACTGTGGCTTGGTGTAAGAACTCATTTATCCACTTGCTTACTCTTAAGTAAATGGTCTCCCCGGACTCAAACTGCAATTAAGCATGTTTCAGCGTTTAATTGGATGGGAGCAGAATGCCGGGCACTTTGTGGGACTAAGCCCACTGAGAGTACCTCATACGTCCACCAGACACACAAAAAAATTTGTAACTCACTAAGAATGAAAGCTGAGCCCCAACTCTTCCTCGCACAAAACCTGCTTCTGAGCCAAAACCTACCCTGATTCTACTCTTAGCCCCTTCTAGCTAAAAAGTAATACCTACATTTTTTAAATCCTGATGGGGAAAACAGGAAAGAATTTCCCAGCAAATCGTGAGAATCTCTTAGCTCTAATAAAGTGTATATTTTCTGCGAACAAGACAGGCTGCATCAAGATGGGTGGGGTTTTAGTATTAGCCAGAGTCTCTGCCATCAGCTATCCTTAAAGTTACATGCAAACTACTTCCCAGTTTCCTGAAGGGCTCAGCTATAGCACATTTTGTGTGTCTTTTGTTAAGGCAATAGACAAACTAGAGAGACTACTGAGAAAACCCAGAAAAATTATCACAGATATAAAATAATGGACCGTGGAGAAAGACAAAGGTTTCCCCTGGCAGCAAATGGCTCCCAGGGTGTGGGCAACAGGACAGTGGTAAGATGGTGTATTGGAATAGTCTTCAAACATGTACAAGATTGTTATGAAACAAGGATACTGAGAAGTTGTTCTCCACGTCCAACAAAGGTAAGATAAAGAAGTTACTCTCTCAGTTTACACAAACCAGCTTCTAAGTAGCTACTAAGCAGCATTTCTAACTGAGGTTAGGGCAAGATACCTCAGGAGGCAAAGAAATCTCTGTTGATAAAGCGCTATACAAGCATTAGTTAGCGACACTCTGTGCATACACTATCCTGCCTCAGAACAATGGCAATGGGCTAGATCCTCTATGGTCCCAATTTTCTAGAGCTCTACACATCAGCAACTTGTGACTTCTCCTAACTTGCAAAGCACCTAACTTGAGTGTCCAGAGACATAACCAGTAATTACTGAGCCAGCATCATAGGAGGGGAACAGTATTTGTGTAACACTTGATTGCATTGCTTGGTTGATACAGAACGGTCAGCTGCATTTCATTTATTGCCTGCTGCGAGTAAGAAATCCCCATTCACTGTTCCAGGATATTTTACTCAAACAGAGAATATTGCTGCCAAACAGCGGCAGCGGTCTTGGCTGAAAAAATCCTCAGGGAAGAACCCCATTTTTGCATCTCTGGAGTTAGACTCACTATTATTATAGATAATACTATGGTTATTGAATATGGCTTCCTCACACACTGGCTACTATAATAATTATTTTGGTACAGACATGCTGAGCTATTATCAAAAAAGTCCTAATGAGACATGTTTTGCCAATTAAGAAATTCAGTGTTGTAATGGCAGTGCCATGTCATTTAATTCCCCCAATGCAGCAGACAAGCTTTGATCCAAACACTACACTCTATCTGATCACAAGTCAAGCTGAAAGAAATCGCCTACCCAGGTATTTTGTTTCACAGTGTCAGAGAAAGGCCATAGTAGGATTCCTCCAACCACCTCTGAACAGTCAGACACTTAGCTGTATTTATCGAACGAGTAAACTGCCAGAAATTAACTAAGTTGTTTTTGCAGGAAGATGTCCGTAATAGAACCATTAGCAAGCCTGATTGAGGGAATTCAGAGACAGATAAATGAAAGCCCCTATTGTTACACATTTCCAAGATGCTTTTCCATCATGGACATAGTGGCTAAAAGTTTCCAGAATTCAGTGCTGAAATTTCATAGGATACATACTCTAACGGTCCAGAATCACAAGACTGCATTGTAAAAACTAATAATGTGATAGACTACTGCTGTTGTGTCAGAAAATCTTACCATGTGAGGATTCTGACATCCATATAAAATGAAACATAATATAATGGGGAATAATTGAGCTCATTCTACTTACCCACTCACTACATGCTCTTGATTATTTTCTGACTGCAAACACAGCTATTGGAATGGGAGGGGGAAGGAGAGAAGAAGAATTGGCAGTCCATCCATGTGACTATTTTGTCATTCTAGTTTTAAAATAGAGGCAGTTAGGAACAGAACATGCACGTTATGTGTTAGTTTTCAGTGGAGTAACATACAAGAAAGCCCTTCTGGATCACCTGCAAAATTACTGCTTTCCTGTTTAACAGCCTACAACAGATTGTTATTGCTAAAGGTTTTAATGAACATGTTTTGTCAGTAATAAAATTCGAAGACAGCTCTGTCAAACTCAGAACTATAAAAATGCTCATAAGGAAAGGATAATTGTCACTACTTACCAATTCCGTACTTTGTCCTGTAATATTCTTTAGTGAATTCATCACAATCACATAGTATTATCTTCCTTCCCCAAACATTAATTACAGCCCCTATTTTCAGGTCACTGTCTCTGTAAAATTCCTGATGCACTGCTCCTGTCTAATAAAAGAGGGAACAGCAGCTCTATAAATCTCAGAATCCCACAACCTTTCTTAAAATCTAGGTTATTTAGTGCATGTGATTTAAAATATAACCTTCCTAGTCCATTTGCAAGTATTTTTCACCCCATGCTAAGCTACCTTGCTTTCACAAATGTGGAATTTACATACAATAAATCTCAATAGTTTTCATTTGAGCTGTTCTCCAGTGGCAACACAATTTTATAAATAACTCTCTTTGTTGTAGAGGATAACAACCACAGAAATTACAAAAACTACTACAACGACATTCAACAGCTGGAGACATTCAATAGTATCTGACCTTACGATTGTCCAGAATGTAACGGCCTCTGTTTCCTACTAACTTTCCGAACACATTGAGAACAGTGCGACTGGTGATTGTGCCCGGCTGATACAGCCCGGTGGGAGCATACTGCAGGAAAAGAGACGAGCAAGAAATACAGTTAACAGTGAAGAAAGAGAAGTCAGTTACCTTAGAACTAGCAGGTTTTTTACAGACTGACTGTTACTGTAGTATTTTCTTGCTAGAACTTTTAGTAAATTCTACGGTAACATTACACCACTGAACCTAAAAGCCAGTGTATACATCAAAAGCCAGCATGTATCGCCAGAAGAAGCATTCAGAATCTTACTGTGTATCCAAGAGTAAAGTCTTCTTTTTCTTGGAAGCAAAGAGAAAGCAAAGGTTAGCACACCCCAAGTAGCACATCCTTATCAATATCTGCTCTAAAGGCTATTATTTTGATTGGTAATAATTAGAAAAAACACACAAAAGAACCACTCAGGGTTGGTCCTACTGTGCCAACCACTGCACAGATACAGGGCATTCAAGTCAGCATGATTCTACTGGCAAAAACGTTAGTTGTTTTTTTTTTATGGTAAGTTTCAAAATTACAATAGCAATTTATCCCAGTAGTATCAAACTTAAGTCTGCCAACACATTACATTTTTTTAAAATTATGAACAAACTGCTGATGCAGGGTAACCAAAGTGGCTTATTTAGTCATACAACCTTCCCTGACGCCCCAACCTTTGACTGATCTCTCCTGTTGTCCTTCTCAAAATTTCCATTGAATTTAAAGGAAGGAGCCAGCCCTTAAAATTGCAACATGCGCTTCAACGGTAGAAGGGGTCTGTCAGCATAGAGCCACTGCTAAATCAGCATCTCAGAACACAGGATACACAAGGTGAGAAAAGTGCACTATTTTGCTGTTAGGTTTCTACTATAAACTCTCATGTACATGTATGGCATCATAGATTATCAGTATTAGAAGGAAAGGAGGGAAAAGATTCCCCAGTGTTTTACTCCATCTGTGGGTTGATGTTATTCTATCATCAGGATCTGTCTGGAGCAATACGGAAGTGTATCCAGCTCATTAATTTTATAATCATAATAATAGGTTACAGAGAACTCAAACCCCTTGAAGATTTCTCTGAGAGGAGCCTTCTCAAACAAGCACCTGATTAATGCGTGACAAAGCTTATTCATGGATTCCTATTGATTTTAACTAGTTTTGCATAAGGTCCCAAATCTAGAAACTCAATTTTAAGAAATTTAAGGAATACTAAACCCAGACTTTTCCAAAGGTTCCAAATATAAATCATATGGATCAAATCTGAATTCACCTCAGTTTTACATTAATTTATCTATCATTATTAATTTGTCTGGACTTCGATTACTGCACAGCTTTATTAATACATTTACCTCAATACACTAATAGGGAAGAAAGGAAGTCATAGGATATCTTTCTACACAAACTCTCTCTCCTTTGAATTTAAGCATGACAAGCCTAAACCTATTTCTTTCCATCACTTATTATATGAATATGTGTGCAAAATCTAAATCATGCAGCTATGACTAATACTCTGATAACACTTTCTAAATATCATTACAATCCTAACAAAGGATTTTCAAAACAAGGCATTTAATATTAGTGGAATAATTTGAAATAAGCTGAAATTTTCATTCCTTACCTTTGGAAGTTTATCCCTTCTGAGGAAAAGCGGAATTGCATCCCGGCCCGAGTTTACTGGTATAATTTCTTTTATGTCAATAGTGTCATCAGACAAATAATAGTGCAGAACAAGTTCCCGTGGGTCATGAAACATGGATTCTGGGTCATTCCACACACAGAAAAAACGTAAAACATGTCCATCATGCTCCAGAAACTGTTTCAAAGTGTCAATGCGCTCATAAGGGCGCAATGGATTCATACTATCCAGAATCTGCAGATAAAGGAGAAATGAAGAGAAACACTTTTTCAATTATTTGCTTTTAAAAACAGGATACCAAACTGCAGGGTACCATCTAATCTTAGAACATGCTTTCAGCATTTTCAAATAACACCACACCATTATAATAAATGAAACACTGTTCATGCTATTACCAAAGAACTATTTTACAGGGTTGCTGTGCCCTCAGAAAATGCAGGAAAGCAATTTTGGATTGGTTTTGATCCGTGTTTTTCTTGCAATAAAGTCCTTCAGATCAAAAAATTGTTAAATTATTTATAGTACAGCTCACATTTTCAACAAATTGCCCATGGTAAGCAGATGACTACAACTCCAAAATATCATCACCCTTCCTGATTTACTTCCTTGAAAATTATTTTTATAGATGATGTAGTATAAAGAACTAATTCTTTCTTTTCCCTTTGGCTTTTTTTTCTTTTCACTTTAAAACACAGCTAATTAACTTTTGATTCATGTCATACAGTTGGCAGGTACTGGGTATGTATGTTCTCCTCTCAATATACACCCATAGGTC